ACATGCCATAGTAGTTGTGAATTTTGAGCATATATTGTATAAGTTTCCAAAATTTGGATTGTGCTTGGTAAATAGTTGATATCTTGTATATACATGTTGATATATATACGTTGTTGCACAATTTGTTGATTTTGGAAACTTGGGGATGTCGTTGTTTGGCTACGGCTAAGACTTGGTTCTAGTACGGGGGATTGTCCCTCTATATAGTCTAGTGCGCACATAGGGAGGTTACCCATGGACTAGTAACCCTAAAGTAACTATGTTGTCGGTCCGATCTGGCGTGACGTCCGAGTATCCACTTTGTTTGATTTCGTATTTTATTTCAAGTTGATAACTAGATGATATCGTAACTTGTTGTTCCTTATTTGATTTCCTATTTTGAGCTTAAGATGTAGCTTTGTGAAAGCATGCTTCATGCGTTGTATTGGAAGTTCCATTGTTGGTTAAATTGCATCGATATCATAATTTGTGTTTTGATATTCAAATGTAGTTTAGGAATGACCTTATAGATTCATTTTGAACATAGACGTTAGGTGGCATGACCCACACTTGTTGTTTTCATATTTTGGATTTCAAGTTGAAGGCTTTGAGAATCTATATCTTGTTACCTTGTATAACATGTTTCCATGTTGTTTGAATTGCATGAACAATGTAATTATGATATAAATGATTTGGGTAGCTTAGGATGCTCCCTGGGTCTCATCTTGACATAGACGTTAGGTGGCATGAGCCCCTTTAACATGTTTCACCATAAGGTAATAAAATTGTAAAATGCTAGGTCGATGCATGCTCATCTCCTACGAGTAGCTTTATGTTACTTACCCCTACGATACTGGGGCATATTTCAGGTACAGGACTCAGGATTTGAAGATTCCATTGCTCCTTGGATGGCTTACAGTTTCTAAGTTTCTATTTTATGCAAGTGTTAGCATAAGATGCCTCTTTATAGCCCTATTTGTTTAAACTTGTATTCGTTGATTCGTATATATAAAGTGTACGTAAATGCACTCTTTTCAATGTATTTAACATGTATGAGATGAGGCCGGAGGCCAATGACATGTATCTCGTTTTCTATGCACTTTTGTTTTCAAAGTTTATTATGAAAATATTGGAAAATGTTAAGTCATTACTTCATAACTTTCGCATCGGTGTTGGGATTTCATATCTTTTCTGCCCGGACTCAGAATCAGACGATTCTTGAGACTAATTTTGTTCATTTTTCGTTGTCCTTCCAATGGTGTGCATGGTGGCACCCTTTTCAGTGAGAAATGACCATTTTGCCCTTAGTTCATCTCTTTTCGGGTTAGGCATTCTTGCTTCATTTGCTTCGCTCATTTGAGTTCTGTGGGTTCATGGAGAGTCATTTTGGGGCCTTAGGGATGACGTACATCTCTTGAGGTCATTTGGTTTCTTTCGCTTCTGCATTTTAGGTCCGTTATCGGGTCAACTTCCGGTTCATCACTAACGCACCGGGTTGAGAAATCCTGATTGTTACATAGCCCTTTTTTTTTTTTTTACAAGTCTTTGGCGTTCAGCTCATAGTGCCATTTGCCACTTGGCTAAGTGTTTGGCGCTTGGCTGGAATACCACTTGCTACTTGACTTTTTTTTTATTATTATTTTTAATTTTATGTAAGTCTTTGGCATTCGGCTTATAATGCCATTTGCCACTTACTTGGCCAAATGCTTGGCATTCGGCTATAATGCCACTTGCCACTTGACTTTTTTATTTTTTATTTTGTGCAAGTTTTTGGCGTTCGGTTCATAATGCCATTTGCCACTTACTTGGCTAAGTGTTTGGCGTTCGGCTAGATTGTCACTTGCCACTTACTTGGCTTTTACTAAGCGTTCTTTGCTCAATCAATTTTTGAAACAAAATGAACTGTTTTTTTTTAAAAAAAAAAAAAAAAAAAAATCCTGACGAATCTATACATTTGCAAGAGCATAATTCTAAATGAATATCGTTCAGAATGGAACTCAATCTTTACTGGTAGTACTCTTTTAGAGACGTGGCGTTTCATGGTTTACTAACCAATCTTCTAGCTATGGTCTCTAAGCTCTATGCCCCTTTTTCTATGGCCTCTGTAACTCTATATGATCCTTCCCAGGGTGACATCATCTTCTTGATGATTCCTACCTTCTTTTTCATAACTATGTCGCCAGGTACGAAATCTCATTTATATTTTATTTTTTTCATGGCAAGAATTTTAAGAGTTAGCGATTAGAGGGGAGGGTGAGGAGGGCGGTAGATGACTTGAACACGAACTCTTAGACACAAGGAGCAACCCAACCACTCAGGCATGACACTTGCTTCCATTAATATCAAAAAGTCATAAATCTAGAAAATCTAATTTAAAATTACAAATCTTAAAAGTACAAAATTAGATATACTAAGACAAAAATATTCCCATCAATTATGTATATAAATACATGTATATGCATGATATATACATTTATTATGTGATATATAATATATTTAGCATATGATAATTTATTATATTAAATAATATATCTTATATGTAATAAAATATATATTGTGTTATAATATTGTAAATTAATTATAATTTAATATTTACATATAATATAATATAGATATGGTATATAATAATATAAAATATCTACTGCTTAATAATTTAATAACATTATATTTTATATCAAAAATTATTTTGTCACAAAAAAATAATTTACATTATTAATTAATATATTATATATTAAAATATATTTTATCAAATAAAAAATAATATACAATATTTAATTTATTCTATATTAAAAATATATATTTTTATTAACATTTAATATGCAAGTTAGTATATAGCACAAAAAATGAATTTTATTTGAAATGAATGGTGCATGTGCAGTAACACTAGTGAAAACGTTTTTCTACTACAGTTTCGAAAATATAAGAAACATCGTTTTGATATATATATATATATATATATATATATATATATTCACAAAAATTGAAAACGTTTTCTGTTATAAAAAAATAAAAATATTTTATTAAACGTAACTTTTGTTTTCGTTTTCGTTTTACTAAAAGCAATTTTTATTATCTATTTTTAAACCCCTAAAAACGATGTATACTGGATCCAATATCATACATACTGAGCCAGTAGTCCAAACTTGTTATTATTTTATTTTATTTTAATCAAATTCCATGTGCGGACACGAGCGGTAGGAGGAGCGTTATCTTATCCAAGTCCCGTGGTAACGGCTACGAGTGAGGGCATTCACGTCACACACTAGATGCCTTGTTTCTCCGAAATTGAAGTACTTTCAATTATATTTACTTTTCTATTAGAATAATGTTTAATTGTGAACCTTTTTTATCTAAACTATTAAAAAATTTGTATCAGTCTATGTTGTTTATTTATTCTTTTAGATTGATTGTATAAATTTTTTTGGATTCTAAAATAACTGCACAAGGAGAAATATCAGTTTGCAATCACAGAACACTGGTTAATGTCTCTGTCCATTGATTACTGACCATAGTCGAAGAAATTTTTACAAAAAAGTCAAAGCGAAAATTTTTTTTTTTTTTTTTGGTTTCGGAAGTGATGACAGTAGGCAGCACCTCTTCTCTGAATGCGTTTTTGCCATATGACGTTGTTTTTTTTTTTTTTGTTTTTTTTTTTTTTTAAAGGTAAGCTTACGTTGATTTGTATACTATGTTGTAAAGGAGGGTATGCCATCTCTCTATCAATCCTACCAAGTGCTTCACTTTTCAATGGTATCAAACATCATTTTTAAAAAAATAAAATAAATAAATATATATATATATATATATATATATATATATATTATCATTATCCTTTATGTTTTTTTAAAAAAAATCAAATTTGATAATTATACATATTACATAATTACCACTGACCACCGTCGCTTCCGTTGCTTTCTGCCACCGTCATTGCCACCACAACTGTCACTATTATCGTCGTCACCACCACTGCATTCCACCACCGCAACCTTTCATGTACACCATTACCGCCTTCCACCATTCCCTCCACCACCACTGTCGTTGCTTTTCACCACCACCACACCGTTGCCCGCACCTCCATCAATACCGCCACAGCCACCATCGTCGACCTCTACCACGGCCATTGTCTTCCACCACGACCACCTCCATTGCAACCACCTTCCACCACCTCCAGTGCCTTCCAACACCACCACCATCGTCACCTCCACCACCATCACCACCACCTACACCACTGACACCTTCCACCACTGTCACCATCATTGTCTTCCACCATCATCACCTACACCATGGACACCTGTCACCACTACCACTAATACTTCCACCACCGCCACTGCCACCAACACCACTATCACCTTCTACCACCACCGCCGCTGTCGCTTTCTAACATCACTACCACTTTCTATCTCCACCACCATCTACCACTGTCGTAATTTTTTTAAAAAAAATTATAAAAGAATATTATTCTATTAATTTAATTTATTTGTTTTGGAGAATTACATTTAAAATTCATTCTATTCTAAATTTTAAATTAATACAACAAAAAAATAAAATAGTTGTTTCATATTTGTAACCAACCAATAAAATGATAATGGATATTTTATTTCATTCTTATTCCCATTCTACTTACATTATTTCTATCCTTATACATGCACCAAACGCAAAATTATATTATTATTACACTTCTTTTTCTTTCATAACAAACATGTTAGGAATTAATAAAAATAAAAAATAATGCTAGGTTGGAACACTAAGAAGCAACTCAACTAGGGCAATACGATAGTTGCACACCATTCATTTTTTTCTTGTTTATAGAATTTTGTGCAATTAACGCTATCAATTCATATCCTTACCGTTACAAAACACATTGGAGTAATTGAATACAACACGACTTAGGTCACTCTATGGTCCCACGTGCACTCATCACTTTTTTCGAAATCGTCTTTGTAACGTTGACAGTGGACTTCACTTCCACACAGTGTACCACTAAAAGTTTCACCCCTTTCATTTTTACCCCCTCAATAATGGTGATAGGTTGTCCAACACATAATCGAATAGAAGACAAATGAAAAGGTGAGAGAGAGTGCCAAAGAAAAGAAGCAATCCTAATTCCTAAATGCTCGAACAGGTTTTGTGCGATTCTAACAGATAGATATAGTTCAATACAAACTCAAGGATATACAGATTTTCTTAAACACAAGACTCTAGTTACACAGTTTGAGAGAGAAAGAAAGAAAAAACAGCTCTTCTTCATGGCCACTCTTAGTTACACTTCAGCTTTCTTCATCCTCTTCCTTCTACAATTCCTTTTCATAGCAAGTAAGTCTTCATATGTATATATAATACATATATATGTGTGTGTGTGTGTGTGTGTGTGTGACTGAGTTGGATTTTTACTCTCTTTTATTTTTCTTCAGTGTCACAGTCATTTATTGGTGTGAACTACGGGCAAGTCGCCGACAACCTACCACCGCCGGCGGCGACGGCCAAGCTTTTACAGTCGACCTCCATAGAAAAGGTAAGACTGTACGGCGCGGATCCGGCGATCATCAAAGCCTTGGCGAACACCGGCATCGGAATTGCTATCGGCGCGGCCAACGGCGACATTCCGGCGATGGCGTCCGATCCGAGTTTTGCGAAGAATTGGATTAATTCCAACGTGATTCCTTTCTATCCTGCGAGCAAGATCATAGTCATCAACGTCGGCAACGAGGTCATGAGCTCCGGCGACCCGAATCTGATGAATCAGCTCTTGCCGGCGATGCAGAATCTCCAGAACGCCCTCAATTCGGCCTCCCTCGGCGGGAAGATTAAGGTCTCCACGGTTCATTCCATGGCCGTGTTGAAGCAGTCTGACCCGCCGTCGGCCGGTAGCTTCGATCCGAGCATAGGAGATCTGTTGAAGGGGATTCTAGGGTTCAATGGTGCCACTGGTTCGCCTTTCACAATCAATCCATACCCTTTCTTTGCTTACCAGAGTGATCCGAGACCCGATACTCTGGCTTTTTGCTTGTTTCAACCTAACGCAGGACGAGTCGACTCGGGCACCAACATCAAGTACACAAACATGTTTGATGCTCAAGTGAGTACACACTCTAATAGCAACTCTTGTTAAAATTTCATGATTTATATGTAAATTTCATCGAACAGTTGAGGACGGGGACGATGACGAGGACGAGTACTTATAGGATTCACGAAAAAGGGCAATTTACTTAATTTTTATGTGTTTAATTAGAAAAATATCATTGTCACTTTGCATAAAACATTAATTTAGACTGTTTTGACACTTGAACTAGCATTTAGAGCTAAACATGAGTATTAATTTATCATGTATAAATTTGCAATGCGATTGTAAATGCAAAAATTGCCGAAATAGTTGGGCACAACAACAACCTTTTGATGATCTGCAGGTGGATGCGGTTCGGTCTGCATTGAACTCCATGGGGTTCAAAGATGTTGAGATTGTGATTGCGGAGACGGGTTGGCCATACAAAGGAGACAGCAATGAGGTTGGGCCAAGCGTCGAGAATGCCAAGGCTTACAATGGCAATTTGGTTGCACATCTCAGGTCAAAGGTTGGAACCCCATTGATGCCCGGGAAATCAGTGGATACATATATCTTTGCATTGTACGATGAGGACCTTAAGCCCGGGCCAGGTTCTGAGAGAGCATTTGGGATATTCAAGCCTGATTTAACCATGACTTATGATGCTGGCCTTTCCAAGACTAGCCAGGTAAAAACTAACTCTTGAATCTTTGAGATTGTTTATAGGGACTAAAATCTTCTCATGTGAAACAGGGTCCTGTCCCATCCTGTTACTGATGTACGTTACAAAACTGTTGTGATGTTCAGCCCCACATTGGTAACGTACATCACTAACCGGAGGTAGGCCTGTCAACGGATCCGATTTGGATCGAATTGATCAAATCCATATTCTATTTATTAAGAAAACGGATTATCGGATTTGGATCACTAACGGGTTCTCAGACTGGATGTCCCAATCCATATCCTGTTTAGCTAAGACTCGGATCAAATCGGATTCGAATTCTGATTAAAATCATATTTACCAACATATATAATTATAAAGTTAGATGAAGCGGAGAATTGTTAATATACAGAATGCTACATAATATAACTATGCAACCAAATGAATATAATGATAAATAATTAATATATATAAATTTAGTAATACATAACTAATATATATAACATTGATATATAGTATATTGTAAATTATTTACTCTTTCTTAATGAATAAAGAGTATGATATTATCAGTATTTATATTAAGAGATTTATTAGCATGTGGATGAGATATATAACACTAATGATTTTTTTTTTTTTTTGGATTTTTGGGTTATCTCTAATACAATTTTAATAGGAGTATTAATATATATATGTAAAATTATTGATAAATATAAATATATATATATATATATATATATATATATATAAAATTTTAATCGGATCGGATTATTAACGATCGTATAACAGATTATCGAATTCGGATCGTAATCGGATTTTTTGTTCAATCCATATCCGACTAATCGGATCGGATTCGGATTCGGATTCGGATCCAGATCGGCTCTATTTACAGGTCTAACTGGAGGGTACATCACTACTGTTTCGGGTAGGCAACAATGGTAAAAGAGTTTCACAATGGTAAAGTTTTTTTTTTTTTTTCATAGAATCTTTCACATTTATATACATATATACATAAATATATGCATTGCAGAACTAGCTATTTTTAATGATTTAGTTCGGTGATGAGCTCAAACACACTTGCCCTACCGGAGCCAGACTTCAATCATGGGAGTGTAGGCTAAAATGATCAACAAAGGTGAATCTAATAAAAGAGAGTTAACGATTTCTAATGTAGAGCACTCATCTGATTGGCGTGTGTGGAATTGAGGTGGTTTTAGGGTGAGCCAAATGAGATCTAATGGTTGAGGCACAACCCTAGAGTGTGAGGTCCTCATGTTAGTTTTTTCCCCATATCATGTCTTTAGCACCATTGACTTGGAAAAAGAAGCCCTTTTAATCCCTAAAAAGGAAAAAATTATTAAAATGCACCTTTCATTTCATTTAATTTGGTTGAAATTGACAATTAATGGTGTGTGTATATGTAAATTATTGCGCTACAATTTTCCTAACTAACATAATAATTTGGTTGTAAGACTCCATCGACACCAAAGAATCCAGTGAATCCGGCACCAAAGCCTAATAAAGCAGCATGGTGCGTGCCTAAGTCAGATGTATCAGACGCCCAATTGCAGGCAAATTTGGACTATGCTTGTGGACAACACATTGATTGCAGTCCGATTAACCCAGGTGGAGCTTGCTTTGAACCAAACACTCTTGCATCACATGCAGCTTATGCCATGAATCTCCTCTACCAAACTTCTGGCAGGAATCCATGGAACTGTGATTTCTCACAAACAGCCATTCTCTCCTCTGACAATCCTAGTAAGTCCTCTTAAATTCTAGCAAACCATTCCTATTCTGAATATATATATACACACACACACAACATTTTTCAGCTGAAGTAGTATACTACTACTATACTACCCCCAATGTTTGCTCTATAGAATTCCTCATCTTATAATTTTTCCCGTGTTATTTCTCTGTTTTGCAGGTTATAATAGTTGCAGTTACCCTGGTGGGAGTACCTGAGAGCACGGAAAATCTGTGTTTAGAATAAAAAGAAAATCTTGGCAGGTATTTATTATTGTTTGTGTTCTTCAATAAGTGGAAAAGGTATATTCTTATGTTAGCAGAATAGCGAGATCAATTGTGGTTAGAACTAAATGGAGAAGGAATTTCAGTGATTCCCACTCCTTCCTGTGTAAAGGGATTAACTGCTGCACTGTTAGTAATATGCTTGTGTATTGCTTGTATATTGGTTCACTGTAGAAATTTGAATTTGTGTATGTATATGAGAAGCTAGTTGACATAGTTTAAGAGAATTGGTGGTGTTGGCTTCTGAACATCTATTTTTGATCCATGTAATCAATAATGTAACTGATCCTAATGAATACTTGTGAGTTGTTTATAATATTGAATTAAAGTTGAAATATATGTTTCTGTGTGTGAATAAGAAGCTAGTAAGAGATGTTGTCGTCGGCTTCTCAACCTTTCTCGATCCATCTGATTTTAGTGCAATAGAACTGATTGATGAACCAGATGTTCACATATATGTGAAAACTGTGAACTAATTCATGTTTTATTTTTTTCTTTTTCTTTCTTTCCCGAAAGGTTGTTATTAATTAATATTCTTACCATTTTGATGCAATATTTCAAAACAATGTGACTTGAGTTACTCTATAGTCCTACGCACTGGTCACATTTTGGAAGGGTAATGCTATTTGGATCGAAGTCCCTAGTCGACCCTTTAGCGGAATCTATGTGGCTGTCCAGGTGATGAAAGAATGCTATTTGGCGTGTACGTTGACATCATCAAAAGCATACAGTCATTCATCTTCTCTCTTCTTCCAAGAAGGCAAGAACATCAGCTAAACAAACAAATACAGACTAAAATGTTCCAATTTTCACCCGATTATGAAATCTAAGGTATGGATACAAATTCACCTGATATTTCATTTATTGTTATTATTATTTTGGTTTCAAATGTATCCTTTTGTTTGATATGTGGCTCAACTTTGTTACTTTCACTCTCCAAATTTTTTTCAAAGAGATGGATAGGATATATTCATCATCTTTTGAATAAAATTATGCATTCATTGTGTTTGATATGTGGTATCGACTGGCTTTCATCATCTTCTTCTTCCCTTTTTTTCCTTCTTGGAGTTTAGGTCTCATCTTCTTTCACTTCACTGTGTTTTAATTTTCTTCAAAGAGACAAATGTATTGTAAATTTGATTGCATAACATGTTAGTCGATTTATTATGACATGAAATTCCATGAAAGAATAAGCTCACCTATACTATATATATATATACACACACACACACACATACCTTGTGCTTCTTTTTTTGCTAAAGTCTTTTTACGCTTTTGACTTGATGTTTGCAAGCTGCTCAGTAATGGGATTGATACTTTAGCTGCGGATGCAGTAGAAACACTCAAGGATGGAATAATGTTTCAATCTGAAGAAGATGTTCGTAATTATTACAACAACTATGCCTGAGTGTCAAGGTTTTGGTGTAGCAAAAATTAGCATAAAGAACTTTAGTGACAGTAAATCAAGATACTTTTCACTTGCATAAACTTTTAATCCAAGGACTTCTACTAGGGCAAATTGAAAGGCACAAGAGCAATAGTATAGTTAAAGAAGATGGAAGTTCTATTATAAAGAACTTCCAGGACTTCTACTAGGGCAAATTGAAAGGCACAAGAGCAATAGTATAGTTAAAGAAGATGGAAGTTCTATTATCTTGATCACAATTAGATGTAACAAGGCACTAGATTCTTATGTTAGAAAAGGTTGGAATTAAATGGCTTAGCAGGTTTAAAATTGAGTAAAAATTTACCATTGGATGAGGAGTGTAGAAATTACATAGCAAAAGCAATACAATTAAGGCTCGGGTTTGGAGATGTTGGAGTCCTTCGTAATTATTTTTATCGCGTGCACAACTTCTTTTACATGTTTGACATGTATGATCAAGGGCATTTAAGAATTGTGTTTGGAGCGGATGCAGGTGTAAGGTTGTGTATTAGTCATTTTGGAAATGTTATTGCGTTTGATACTACTTAGCTTTAAAATAGGTATGACACGTCGTTTGTTCCATTTGTCGAGAAAATCAACATGGGCAGTCCGTGTTACTCAGTTGTGGTTTACCGTCTATCAAGTCTAATGATACTTAGTTATTTGAGTCATAGCTGACATGTATGCTAGGGCGTGCTCCCAAAGCTATTGTTACGAGTGCATTCATTCAAGCAGCAATCTAAAATGTATTTTCAGATTCTCATGAAGTTGGGGAAAGTTGGCCGTATAAAGCAATTAAAAAAATCTTGAAAATATTTGGCTTTCTCGGACCAGAGACTTTCCAATAGGTTACCCATCCTAGTACTACTCCAGAATAAGCATGATTATTAACTTTAGAGTAAGCATGATTATTAACTTTAGAGTAATGATAGTTCGCGATCATCTTAGCTTTAAAATGCGTTGTGTTATGGAAGAGTGTTGGACCTTACATATAGCACTTTATCTTTTATAGACGATGTGGGATCATGACACCCTATGACCAAATATGTCGTTCAGTGTCTCACACTCATCCACATCACACCCGCCTAAAGAACATGTAATTTCTTGAAAACCCCACTAAAGTCTTGAGAGTACGCAAGTTAAAATTAAATAATTAAGATTTGCATTAATCACAAGTGATTGTCCAACATAAAAGCATTCTCTGGGCATCCATCATCTAATTGATATACTCCCTTCGTACCAAATTAAGTAGGGATTTATTTAATTTGGGACGAAGGGAAGGGAATATATTTAATCAGAAAGCAGTAGGGATTTATTTATTTTCTCCATGGTTACAATAGAGATGTATTAATAAAGCTAATAAGGATTATAATGAACTGAAATTTGCACTAGTCAATTAGGTCATATATCCTAGTCTAGTATTTTCTATCATTTCCCATTCGGTGGAATTCCCTCCGAAAATGGAGGGCAGAATAGAGAACAAATTAGAAAGAGAAAGAAAACAAGAGACATCCACATGAAATCTACTTCAAAGCATGATCGGTAAAATGGTGGGCTCTCCTTTTATCCAAAACAATCAAAGCCCTTTCTATTTTTGTCAAAGCAAATGATAGGCCATACGAAAATGGAGGACTTAAACTTCCAGCACACGAGAGAGAGAGAGAGAGAGAGAGTGGAGTCCATGGGACTTCTACAAGTTAGAAGCGGTCAGTTAAATGTTACGTTGGGCCCTCCATTTTTGGCGAGCCAACCATTTTCCTCTTTCCCTCTCCTTTCTGTCTCTCTGTATTTGTATCAAACTTCACATTCTTGAAAACCAATTTAGAGAAGGAGAGAGAAACAAACAGCTCTTCTTCATGGGGACTCTTTCTTACACGTCATCCTTCTTCACCCTCTTCCTCCTACACTTCCTGTACCTAGCAAGTAAGTTTTTATATATATTTTTTAATTTTTTCAATAGTTGTTTTAATGTTAAAGAGTTTAAACGAAATGGAGATCAAATTTATAAATTACACTAACTGATTACATTGAACGCTTTTTTTGAAAAAAAAAAAAAAAAAGGTTCAAGAGTTTGAAGGAAATAAAGAAGCAAACTCGTGCCGTTTGTTCAAACTTTTCAATCTAAGTATCAATATATATTCCCTTTTAGGAAGAGATTATGTTATACAGTTGGATTTATGACCCTTCGGTCATAAAAAATTTTTGTATTACCTACCTATGAAAAGCGAAGAAACAAAAAGAAAGGAGAGAATAGTACTAATTAACTATTATTATTATGGTATTTGGTTGATTAAAGAAGAAATAAAAAATGATAGTAATCATATTTAGGTAAAAAAAAGAAAAGAAATTAATTTAATAAATTTATTAGGGTAAAGTACAGTCACACCCCCTGAGGTTTGGCAAAAGGACATTTATAGAAAACTTAGCTCTTTTTTAGACAAAGACACCCCCTGAAGGTTCGAAAATGGACAAAGACACCTCTTTACATGAAAAATTGACCAAATTATCCTTTGACAGTTTATGAGACTTTTTTAATTTACAATTTAATAAATTAGACCAATCTACCCTCATGAATAATTATGCATAAAAAAAAAGTAAAAAAAAAAACTTTATATTGTTCACTTTTTTTTTCTTTTTTTTTTTTGTTATTTACTTTATAAATGTCCCAACTTCTTAAAAAGGTAGACGTCTAAAATGTTTTTTTGATTCAATACATATATTTCAAATAAATTATATTTTGTTATTACTTCTTTTCTTTTTCTTTTTTATTTTTAAATTAAGATGCTTAATTCTTTCATTAAAAAAAACTAAACCAATCTCTTTTTCTTAAAAATAAAAATATGGTACTAATATAACTTTATACATCTTAAATTATATATCAAATATTATGCATTTTCCAATATATTAAAAAAAAATAGGTACCAGTATAACTTTATGCATGTCTTTGTTTTTTTTTCCCCTTAGTTTTATTATTTTTTTTCCCTTTGTTTTATTATTATTATTTTTTTCCTTTTTATGTGGGAAATGCATAATATTTGATATATAATTTAAGATACATAAAGTTATATTGGTACCATATTTTTTATTTTTAAGGAAAAGAGATTGGTTTAATTTTTTTAGATGAAAGAATTAAGCATCTTAATTTAAAAATAAAAAAGAAAAAGAAAAGAAGTAATAACAAAATATAATTGGGACATTTTTTTAAGAAATTGGGACATTTATAAAGTAAATAACAAAAGTTTTTTTTTTTTGGTTATTTTTTTATGCATAAATTGTTCATGAGGGTAGATTGGTCCAATTTATTAAATTATAAAGTTAAAAAAATTTTCTACACGGTTTAAGGGTAATTTGGTCAATTTCTTATGTAAAGGGGTGTCTTTGTTCATTTTTGAACCTTGAGGGAGTGTCTTTGTTCAAAAAACAGGTAAGTTTCATCTGAATGTCTTTTTACCAAACCTCAACGGGTGTGACTATATTTTACCCCATTTATTATTATACCATTTTTTATAAATTTTGTCTTTTATGAAAAAGGATATCGTGTAAAAAAACAAACACTCTATAATATAAATATAGGAAATACTCCTATAAGTTCTCAAAACCCCATAAGCAAACAAGTCTCACCTCATTCAACCGGGATGAAAATTGTAAATTGTCTTTCTTAAAGTATAATAATAATAATAAAAGAGTAAAAAAAATCCAATTTTTGTAAAATGACCATAATGGCCTTGAGGGAGCAACCTTGTTTTGGAGGCATGAGTTTGGGACTTCAAAAGGGCATTTTGGATATTTAGTACCATTAATTAGTCATGTGGCCACACACGACTTTACAACCAAACAACTTTTAGTTTAGTTTTCCAACATTTTAAAAAATTTAATAAATTTATATATTCAAAATAAATGATAGCTATGTTATTTGCACAAAAAGTAATAAGCTTTAGGGGTATTTTTTATATTTTACTCTAGATAAATTTTGTATTAAGAAAGTAAAAACTGTTATGAGAAATTGATCATTAGTCTAAGTCAATCACCATGTGACACAATAACAAATGCATCATAAATGTTTAAGTTTATTAGATAATTCTTGCTCCATTGGCACTTGGTTAACTAATTCAGTTGGTTAACTAATTCAATTCATATTATCCGATTAAAAAACATAACCCCAATAAAGTGTAGTAATATATTACAAAATCTCAACAATGAAATTTTATTCAATTATCAATAATAATATATTACAAAATCTCAACAATGAAATTTTATTCAATTTTTTTTATAATATGTCACACCCAGCAGACAAGGTAAAATTCCCCTTTCATTCCCTTTTCAATTCAAAAATACAAAAATTAAAAAAATTTCCCTTTTCAAAAATAATAATAATAAAGCAACTCATCATCAAGATATAAGCCTCCAAGTCCTTCCATTTCTTTTTATTTTCCTTCCAAATTTTATTCTAAATACTGTACAAAAATCAATATGCCACCATTTTCTGTTTTTTCTTGGGAGGATTTTGAATTTATGAGGGAGCCAGAATTGTTACTCTGTTATTTTTGCAGTGTCAGAGCCATTTATCGGTGTGAATTACGGCAAACTCGGCAACAACCTACCAACGCCGGAGGCGTCGGTGAAGTTTTTACAGTCGACGTCAATAGAAAAGGTCAGACTGTACGCTCCCGATGCGGCGATCATCAAAGCACTGGCCAACACCGGCATCGGAATCGTCATCGGCACCACCAACAGCGACGTTCCGGCAATGGCGTCCGATCCGAATATCGCCAAGACTTGGGTTGCTTCCAACTTAGTTCCTTTCTATCCTTCCAGCAACATCATACTCATCACCGTCGGCAACGAGGTCATGACCTCCGGCGACCGGAATCTGATGAATCAGCTCTTGCCGGCGATGCAGAATCTCCAGAACGCCCTCAATGCGGCTTCCCTCGGCGGGAAGGTTAAGGTCTCGACGGCTCATTCCATGTCGGTGTTGAAGCAATCTGACCCACCGTCGTCCGGTAGCTTCGATCCGAGTTTGGGCGATTTGATGAAGGGGATTTTAGGGTTCAATAGTGCCAATGGTTCGCCATTCACAATCAATCCATACCCTTTCTTTGCTTACAAGAGTAATCCCAAACCCGATGTTTTGGATTATGCCTTGTTTCGAACCAACTCACCACGAGTCGACTCGGGCAACAACCTCAAGTACACAAACATGTTTGATGCTCAAGTGAGTACACTCTAGTAGCAACTCTCCTTAATTTTCAGCATTTCATTTCCATTATTAATTAATCCTTTCACTACGAAACTGTGGATCATCGATGTGTTTGTAATTAAAAATATATATATTAGGTTCTTGTCACTCATAAAATAGTTTTCTATTTTAAGAGAACTAAAAATCAGAAAACTGTACAAAAACTCTTTTTTAGTTTAATTTTCTGAAAACTCAGTTTTAAAAGTACCTATTGTGAGACAATTGTCTTTTATAGTGATCAGTTTTCTGTTTTCTGAATTGTTTCCTGAAAACTCCGTTTTAGAAGTACTAGTTGTGAGACAACTGTCTTTTATAGTGAACAATTTCTGTTTTCTGAGTATTTCAGAATTATTTTCAGGCTCTTACTAACTTTGCATTAGTGATTACCTGTTATATACATTAATTTAGCCTGTTAAACATGTTTATCACTTTATGATGTATATATTTACAATTTGAATGTGATAGCAAAAATTGCAGAAATAGTTGGACATAACAAACTTTGAATCATCTGCAGGTGGACGCGGTTCGATCTGCAATGAATTCTATGGGCTTCAAAGATGTTGAGATTGTGGCTGCCGAGACGGGTTGGGCACACCAAGGAGACAGCAACGAGGCTGGCGCAAGCGTTGAGAATGCCAAGGCTTACATTGGCAATTTGATTGCACATCTTAGGTCAATGGTTGGAACCCCATTGATGCCAGGGAAATCAGTGGATACATATATATTTGCGTTGTATGATGAGAACCTTAAGCCTGGACCAGGTTCTGAGAGAGCATTTGGGCTATTCAAGCCTGATTTAACCATGAATTATGATGTTGGCCTTTCCAAGAATGGGCAGGTAAAAACTAACTCAACAATCTTTGAGAGTGCTTATAGTAGCTTATAGCAAGCAACATTGGTAAAAGACTTGAATCCTTTTCTTTTCTTTTCATAGCCTCTATCATATGTACACATACACAGGTTTGGTTCATTGATGAGCTAGCCCTTGCATTGACCCAAACTAAGTGTCATCATCTTGGTTCAATTGTATCAAATAAGCTTGTCCCACCTCCCGCCAGCCAGACTTCAATCATAGATTTTCCACTTAGCACTCACCTAATTGGTGTGTATGGAAGTGAGCTTAAAGTCTACTATGAAGGTGCTTTTACTTTCTTCTCTTTAACAGTCTCAAAACCTTGACCTAGTACTTTGGAGTCAAGACTCAAAGCCACTAGGATAAAGGTAGACCATTCAGGTACTTTTACCGTGAACCACATAAGAGCTATTGATCTTAATGGTTGAGATGCAACCTAAGTGTGACGTCCTCATGATGGTTTTCTCCTAAATCATGTCTTTTGCCCAATTGCTTTAGGAAAAGAAGTAGTACTTTTAATCCTTGAAAAGGGAAATGGTACTTTTAATCTCTGAAAATGGAAATGGCAAGTAAAATGAACCTTTCATTTCACTTAATCCTCCACTTATTGCTTTATTGTAGGTAATGCATTTCAATACACTTCACACCAACCCAATTTCGACTATCCACATATAGCAACACTACTAACAACCAGAAAGGCTTATAGGAAAGATAAGATCCTTCTAAAAGAGACCCATTTTGATTTCTTTGGTCGGTTCCCATTGGTGGCAACAGCTTTAATTTGGTTAAAATTAACAATTAATGGTGTGTTATATGTGAATTACTGAGCTACCAGTTCATCTGATTGACTTAATAATTTGGCTGTAACACTCCATCAACACCAGACTACGAAAGCAGCATGGTGTGTACCTAAGATAGGTGCATCAAATGCCCAATTGCAAGCAAATTTGGACTATGCTTGCGGACAACACATTGATTGCAGTCCGATTCAACCAGGCGGAGCTTGTTTCGAACCAAACACTCTTTACTCACATGCCGCTTATGCCATGAATCTCTTCTACCAAACTGCTGGCAGGAATCCATGGAACTGTGATTTCTCACAAACAGCCATGCTGTCATCGAATAATCCTAGTAAGTCCTCTTAAATTCTAGCAAACGAACCATTCCTATTCTGTATATGCATACAACATTTTCAAATTAATTACTACTACCGAAGTCTGCTCTATAGAATTCCTCATCTTATAATTTTCCCCATGTTATTTCTCTCTTGCAGGTTATAATGGGTGCACCTACCCTGGTGGGAGTACTAATGATGTTGGCCAATCCCAGACTAGCAAGGTGAAAAGCAAGGTGAAATCTAAAAGCAAGGTGAACTAACTCTGGTATCTTTGAGGTTGTATATATTAACATTGGTAGAAGAGTTGAATCCATCCAAGTCTTTATTATTATTTTTTTTTTTTGGTAACATCTATCATATATACAGAAATATATGCATTGCAGAACTAGCTACTGATAATGGTTTGGTTCATTGATGAGCTCAACCATGCATTGGCCCAAAGGCCCCAAACTAAATTTCATCATCTTGGTATTACCCACACCAGCCAGACTTCAATCATGGGAGTTTAGGGTAAAATGATCCACAAAGGAGAATGTATAAAGGAGTTGCCTTTTTTTCTTTTCTTTTTTTTTTTTCGTTTTTGGGTTGCTGGTGGGGAAGGGTTGAAGGAGTGTGAACGATTTCTGATCTAGATGTTCCACTTAGCACTCGTGTGATTGGAACGCATGGAAGTTAGGTGAAGGGCTTAAAGTCTATTATGAAGGGTTTTTTTACCTTAAGCTTTGGATGTAGCAGTTGTTGCGCAAACTCAAGTGAGAGGTCTCATGATAATTTTTTTCTATATCATGTGTCTTGCACAACTGATTTAGGAAAAGAAGTTGTACTTTTAATCCCTGAAAAGGGAAATGGTAAGTAAAATGCACCTTTCATTTCAGTTAATAAGGGCTAGTCTAGTGCACAAAGCTCCCGCCATTGTGGGATCTGGGGTTGATGATACACCTCAATCCAATTCACACCAACCAGGCACTGATCCAGTTGAGGCATAAGGCCTGGGGGTGGGGTGGTGGGAGGCGGTAGTGCCCCCTGCAACTTTTAAATCTTTTCATTTTTTATAATTTTTAAAATTTTCAAAGCTGCCCCCTCTTCCAAAAAAAACTTCTCCCCTTAAATTTTTTATATTTTCATTTGTATATATGGGGTCTTAAAGATTCTAAAATTGCACCACACTTAACCCACTAATTAATCTCTCCTTGATCACTAGACATTCCATATCTCCATATTTAATCCTCTCTTTTCCTATGGTGCACAACTGTCTTCCAACTATTTTTTCTACAAAGAAGGATCACAATTTCTAACAAGGTACCAAAAAAAAACACGCTAAATAAAGTATCATTGTCTACTTCTCTTTTATTATATATGCTACATGGAAATCATGAATATAAACCCGTTAGAAAATTTTGAAGACCCATATTGTAAAGAACAGAATTCCCTTGTATATTTGGTTTAATCTACTTATCAATTACTTCTTGATTCGGAGAACCTAATTACAAATAGTTCAAGTTCCAATTTGAAGACAAGTTTAATTCATTAATTTTGTTAGTGCAATGGAAGACTTTGTAGGTTTGTTATTCAGGAAAAAATAAAAAATAAATGTGACTTTCTAGGTTTGTTGAGTCCTAATTTGATTTATTGAAAAGTCAATAGTATTTATAGTAATAGGGAATGAGGAATACACTGGAATACACGCTCACATTTATTTTGTTTTGGATAATTGTCTTACTACTTAAATGTAAATGTAATAAACAAAAATATTATCAATCAAGTTTCTGTCTTCAATTTATTATTATTTTTATCTTATTATTCTTCAACATCCCTCCCACCAACTGAATTCCTGGCTCCGTTCCTGACACCAACCCAATTTCGACAATCCACTTATAACTACACTACTAACAACTAGACTGCTTACAGGAAAGGTACAAAGAGACCCATTTTGATCCCTTTGGTTGGTTCCTGTTAACAACCATCTACTCCAAAAGCTTAAGCTGTTAGAGAGGGTGCAACTTTTATATTTATATCCTTCAACATGCCCCCTCACGTGTGGCCTTCTTTTTTGTCCAACACGTGTTTTTTCAATTTTTTAATTAGGGTGACGGTGAGGTTTGAACTCAAGACCTTTGGCTCTAATACCATGTTAACAACCTTCTACTCCCAAAGCTTAAGCTGTTAGAGATGGTGCAACTTTTATATTTATATTCTTCAACAGTTCCCATTTGTGGCAACCGTTTCAATTTTGTTGGAATTGACATTTAATTGTGTATGCGTATGTAAATTGCTGAGCTACCAGTTCATCTGACTAACATAATAATTTGGCTGTAATGATCTATAGAGGCCAAAGACTCTAAAGACAAGCTCCAAATTAGAGAGTAATAATGCAGCATGGTGTGTGCCTAAGATAGGTGCATCAGACGCCCAATTGCAATCAAATTTGGACTATGCTTGTGGACAAGGCATTGATTGCAGTCCAATTCAACCAGGTGGAGCTTGTTTCGAACCAAACACTCTTTACTCACACGCTGCTTATGCCATGAATCTCTTCTACCAAACTGCTGGCAGGAATCCATGGAACTGTGATTTCTCACAAACAGCCGTGCTCTCAGTGAATAATCCTAGTAAGTCCTCCTAAATTCTAGCAAACCAACCACCCATTCCTATTCTGAATATATATTCAACACTTGCTGGATGAGTATACTACCCCGAATGTTTGCTCTATAGAAATTCTCATCTTATAATTTTTCTCATGTTATTTCTCTGTTTTGCAGGTTATAGTGGGTGCGCTTACCCTGGTGGGAGTACTAATTTTGGTGGCCTTTCCCAGACTAGCGAGGTGAAAATTCATGGTGGGAGTACTAATGTTGGTGGTCTTTCCCAGACTAGCAAGGTGAAAACTAACTCTAAAATCTTTGAGATTGCTAATAGTCAATAACATTCAACATTGGTAGAAGAGTTGAATCCTTCTAAGTCTTTTTTTTTTTTTTTCTCCATAGAATCTATCATATGATACACATATATACATAAATGCATTGCAGAACTAGCTATTTTTAATGGTTTGGTTCATTGACGAGATTGACCATGCATTGGCCCAAACCAAATTTCATCATCTTGGTATACTGATTTCAGTTTGCCCCACCACCCACCAGCCAAACTTCAATCATGGGAGTTTAGGCTAAAAACCATCTCCGATCCAGATGTTCCACTTAGCACTCATCTGATTGGAGTGCATGGAAGTGAGTTGACGCGCTTAAAGTCAATTATGAAGGATTTTTAATCTTGAGTTTTGGATCTAACAGTTAATGCACAAGCTCAAGTGAGAGATCCCATGATAGTTTTTTACCATATCATGTCTTTTGCACAATTGATTTAGGAAAAGTAGTAGTACTTTAATCCCTGAAAAGGAAAATGGTAAGTAAAATCCACCTTTCATTTCACTTGATCCTCCACTTAAAAGATGGGAATCAACTATTGCTTTGTTATAGATGATGCACAACAATACGATTCACACCATCCCATTTTCGACAATCCACATATAACTACACTACTAAATACTAGATTGTTTATAGGAAAGGTACAAAGTAACCATTTTGATCCCTTTGGTTGGTTCCCATTTGTGGCAATAGTTAAAATTTTGTTGGAATTGACGATTAATGGTGTGTGTATTTAATACACTGAGCTACCAGTTCATCTGACTAATATAATAATTTGGCTGTAAAACTCCATCGACGCCAAAGACTCCAGTGAAAAGCATCAAATTAGAGAGTAATAATGCAGCATGGTGTGTGCCTAAGATAGGCACATCAGACGCTCAATTGCAATCAAATTTGGACTATGCTTGCGGACAAGGCATTGATTGCAGTCCCATTCAACCTGGTGGAGCTTGTTTCGAACCAAACACTCTTTACTCACACGCCGCTTATGCCATGAATCTCTTCTACCAAACTGCTGGCAGGAACCCATGGAATTGTGATTTCTCACAAACAGCCATGCTCTCATCGAATAATCCTAGTAAGTCCTCCTAAATTCTAGCAAACCAACCACCCATTCCTATTCTGAATATATATACAACATTTTTTTTTGGATAAGTATACTACCCCCAATGTTTGCTCTACAGAATTCCTCATCTTATAAATTTTCTCGTGTTTTTTCTCTGTTTTGCAGGTTATTCTGGGTGCACTTACCGTGGCGGGAGCACCTGAGAGCACTTTTTAGAATAAAAAGATAATTTTGGCAGGCATTTATTATTGTTCGTGTTCTTCAATAAGTGAAGGTATATTCTTCTACTAGTAGAATAGGGAGATCGATTGTGGATAGAGTTAAATGGAGAAGGAATATAAGTGATTAGCTGCTGCACTGTTTGTAATATGATTTGTATTGTTAGTATATCGGTTCACTGTAGAAATTTGAACTTCTATATGTATATTAGAAGCTAGTGACATAGGTTAAGAGAATTGATGTTGTTGGCTTCTGAACATCAATTTTTTATCCATCTGATCAGTAATGTATGTGAATCCGAAGGAATAAACCGGATGTTATTTGTGAATTTGACTCTTAAGCAAAACTGCTCACTTTTTATGATGATTGTGAAATGTTCATATATTGAATTAAAGCATAAATGTATGTTTCTCAACCTTTTGTTTATACCATAATTATCGGCCACTTTCCAGTGGAAGATTGCTATGGTCAATGCTAATGGAAAGGTGATGGGTTGTCCATTACGACTGTCCAGTGAAAATTGCTATCTTTGAGAGACTTTGACAAGAAACTAATCAAAGTTGGACACGTGGTTTATTAAAAGGGCAACACTTAATAGTTATTTGCACCATAATTACTGGTCACTTTCCAATGGAAGGTTGCCATAGCCGATTTCAATGGAAGGGTGATATGCAAATGAGGATGCAATTATAATGCAACACGTGGATTCATCTGAGAAAGCCATTTGTAAAGTAGCTGCCTTGGGACACGTGGCAGCTAAGAAAGCAAGCAGTTACTGTAAGTGAAAAGTCATAAGACACGTGGCAGCTAAGAGATAAGTAGTTACCTACAGTTGGAAGACATGACTTCCAAGTGGGACACGTGATAGAATTTCTGGTGAAAGAATGGTTACTGAAAGTGGAAAGTCATGAGACATGTGAAACCTCAAGGACTACGGTGGATTGTTAAGTATAAAATTAATCTTAATTTAATTCAAGAAGAGAGATGATTTTGTGTTTAGCTATAACATGGTCAATTACTTCAATTATGTGAAAATCCAAACATGTATATTCAGGAATCAAGTGGCTACAAGCACACTTTAATTCAATTAAGAAGACATATATGAATAAATACTAAGCCATAACTCATCTTCGATTGGCACGAATTGTCTACCTAACTACTCTAATCTACTATGCAGTACAACTCATCTTCCCTATGTATGAATTATCAAAACATTCATTCACATATTCGTTTAAACACCATTGCATAATAACCACTCCTCCCATTAAGAGAAGCCATTAGCCGCCAAACTCTCACAATAGAAGGGTTGAATTCAATTATAACAAGATTAATTGAAAGAATGATGGTTTACGAGCTGTAGTGACTCCCATGGTTCTCTACTGGTCTTCAGTATTCTCTATTCCAGCTGCTGTGGTGAACATTATTGAAAGAAGGATGCGAAATTTTGTTTGGGGTCATGATGATAATACTGTGAAATTACATGGTTTATGTTGGAATAAAATCACTTCTCCAAAGTCTGAGGGAGGTTTTGGTTTGGGGAAATTATTGGATATTAATAGAGCTACCAAATGCTCTTTGGCATGGGATTTTTTGCTATCTAAAGATAGATTGTGGGTTGCTTGGTATAAAAATTGTAATCTTAAGAATGCTTCTTACCGGTCTGTGATTCCAAAGGATACTCATTCAATAATTTGGAAAGGAATTGTTGCAGTGAGAGGGGTGTTGAAGGACAATTGTTCTTATCATATTGGCAATGGTTAACTTATTAAAATGTTTTTGGATCCATGGTGTGGGGGGCATTTTTTATCTGATCTTTTCAGTTATAGAACCTTGAGATTGGTCTCTACTAATAAGCAATTACTCTTAAGTAATTTCATTGAGCTTCTTCAGTGGAAGGTTGATGGTCTTCCTACTGAAATTCAACAGCTTCTGCAGCAGTATAGAATTGATGGTGGCGAAGATCAGTCTTTCGGGAATCTTAAACCTTTTTCTTTCAAAGCTGCATGGGAATCCTATAGGGTGGTTCAGCCTGAGGTATATTGGTATTCTATGGTGTGGAATGGAGGAAGACCACGCTGATTTGTTTTTGGTGTTTTAATTTTACAAAATGTGGTTCTGACTGAGGTTAATTTGCAAAGAAGGGGTATTTCTTTAGCTTCTATTTGATGTTTCTGTGGCAGGAATTTGGATCATATGGATCATATGTTCCTTACCTGTGTTTATGCTTGGGAAGTTTGGTATGGCTTAGCTGATTTGTTCCATTGGAAGGTTCAAAAATTGAGTTGTATCATAGCTTTTGCTAATGATCTGGGACTACAGTTTGCTGTCAACTCTTGTAGGAATAAGGTCTTCAAGGTTGTTTTCACAGCAACACTCTATTATTTATGGAATGAAAGGAATGGCAGATTTCACATGAATATTGTTCGATCCTCTTCCATTTTATTGAAATGTATTGTTTGGGATGTCTTAGATGTTGCAAGGGTTAACCTTCAAGATTTGCTAGGATAGTTAGGAGGTTTTGGGTTGTTGTGGGCTTGTCTACACTTCTCTTTACTCCTAAGGGTGTGTTTCAGTGAGATTCTTATCTCACTTTCTCTTTTGTACTTTATTGTTTATTTATAAAATTTTCTTCATTTAGGAAAAAAAAAAAAATTTAAGATAAGAGATTAATTTCATTAAAAATTATTATAATCATTAAAATCCAATTGCTTAGTCCAACTAAGTCAATTGCTCAAAATCATGCAATCAATATACATATAAAAATCCCCAAAGTTAAGAACAATTAAACCATGCTACTCAGACTAAGATTATATCAATTCCCTAAGGAATGCTTTAGCTGCCCATGGAGAGGAATAATATCATCACTGTTGGTCTAGAAGCCATCTCCATGGACCGCCAAGTAGATATTTTAATCTTCAAAACCCTAAAAACCGCCACAAGGTAGGAGAACCAAGAGGAAGAAAAGAGAGTCAGAGAGAGCTCTTCAATGTGTCTTCTCATATTCTTTTATAGTGGAGAACAAGTCCTAATCCCCTTTGGATGGGCTTTACAACTTTTGGAGTCATCTAGGCCCGTCTGAAACCAAGAAGGAGTGTTTCCTGCATGTATTTTTAAGTTCCAGGATGACAGTGCTCGAGTACAATTAACAGTGCTAGAGCACAATCTCAGTATTTAGTTTTCTTTCAACAAATTATTCTGAAATTGTAATGCTATTTTGATATATTTGGTGTACGAATCTCAAAATTTCTATTAGAGAAAAAAATATCGGGCTTCGAGTCTTCTTTCCATAGCCACTAAGTTTGCTCAATTTGAAGTTTTGAGTGAAAATTTATGCCCAAAATACTGAAGCAGATCCAGAATTTTTATCAGTGCTCAAGCACAAAGTTTTGTGCTCGAACTCTGGGAGCTGAATTTTTCCAAAGCGTCTTTTTCTTCAACACTTAGCTTTTTTTCTTGAATTTTATGATTTGTGCTCGAGAACAGAAAGTTGTGCTCAAGCTTTGGGAGCTCAATTTCATCAAATCTTTCTGATTGAGTCCCAAATTGACCAAGAAGGCCCTGAACATCTCTTTAAGCACCGGGAACATCGCAATAAGCTCTAAATACATGGAAGCCACCAAGTTCCTACTATATCAATGTTTGTTTCCTTGTACAATTCCTGTTAGTTTACATAAATAAATTACAATTTTTCAATGATTCCTTCTTCATGTAGGACTTGTATTGTTGAACTAGGCCGAGCCTTTCAATGCCACTGGACCAGGCTTATTTGGCTTCTGGGTGTAACTCCGACCCATTTCTTCTGCAATTGGGCCTCTAGAACTGGGTTTATGGATATAAAATTATGATTCTTTTCTTGCTCAACCCATATGGCATGCTCCTTATGGCCTTTCACTTGATGATGCGTCATGCTACAATTGGAGGGTGATTTTTTCCTCCACACACTGGAAAATCTTGCATCGAGGCAACATCACTAGGAATTGAGTTCTTTGATTGAGTCGACTTAGTACCGTAGATTGAGTCCTCACACGAGTGAACTCCAGGAAGTGAGAGGCTCAAGGAAGTAGGAGGATCATCTTTTCTATTCTTGTCGAAGATTAAATTTTTCAGCAATTTCACTGGATTTCAGTCATAAAAAAATGTCGTCAATCGACTATTTTTTTTCTTCTTATTCTTCTTATCGCAGTCGTTATTCTCTATTGAAATTTTTCCTGCCCTAAACTGTTTTTTTTTTTAAAAAAATTTATTTAGTTATTTATTTATTTTGCAAAGTTCTGTTTCAATAGAGAATATATACATATATATACACACACATGGTGTAGTGGGATGCAAGAAAAAGAACAAAAGATAAAGTTAGGTTCTTGGGAATTTTTTTTTTTTTTTTTTGGATTTTCAAGCTACTGAATATATATATAAGAAAAATCGGACTAATTACAAGAAGGGCCATTAGGCCAAACCAGCCCATTGGATTGAGCAAACAAGCCCAAAAGAGGGCCTACAAGAGAGAAGCCCAAACAAAACTAATAACCAACATTAACGATTTTGGGAGACCGTTTATGGAGGGTGTTAGTACATTACTCTAGTAAAGACCCAGCAGGCAGCATCGCCACGGGCGAGAGTTATGTGATACCCCCGGATTTTTGGATGTGGGTTGGCCAGGCCCACGCCCGAATACCCGGAGATATCAAAAACAAATCGACAATAATCGAACACATAATACAATTATGATAAAAAGGAATAAATAAAATTGCTGAAAGAAAACTAACACGATAATCCAATAATGAAAACCTCAGAATAAATTTTATAAATAAGAACTATTCTGGTACATCCAAACCTCCAATACAAATACAACTCGAGAATCTATCTAGTGGACCCCTATTCAAAACCCAACTGAAGTTAAACTGAACTAAACAAGAAATCCAAAACTAAATATAAATAGCAGTCCTACGCAGTCGGAAGAATAAGTGACCGTCTCTGCTCAACACGAACAAGCTCTAAGACTGGAACCGTCCGATACCTGAAAAATAATAGTGGGTCAGGCCCACGAACAAGTTCTATTCTAACTACAATCCAAACAGAGACCCGATACGCAAATACATCCTAAACAACTCAACAATAACTATATAGTCCGTACATATATATATATATCCACACTAAGGGACTCTCACTGGACTACAAAGGGGGTCTCAACCTGAATAGAAGGCAACATGCAAAACGCACCTGAGTGGGCATGAGTACCTAAGCCTAACAGGGTATACCTATACCATCATAGCCAACTACGCATCCTTCTGTATATACGCTCCCTAACCGTCGATCTTGAGACTTAAGCTCATATCGAGGTACTATAATCGTATATA